ATTAAACATTGCATAAAAATGCCTTCTCAAATATTCTATGCAGTTTATTTATCTCCATTCTATGTTAATTAGTATTGGCAACATATATTGAGTTTTGAAAGAAAACTTGAGCATTTAGATATATCCAGATTTCATGCGATTTCAGAAACCTCTAAAAACAGTATTGGAACTGAAGTAAATTTTAATGTAGCAGCTCATAAAAAAAAATTTAACAAATACACATACTCACCTCTAGACCATCTGGTGAAATTTTTGAGGTATTCACTAACATCCTTTCTGTTCAACATAGCATTAACGCGACAGAGATTTACTCTTTCATTAGTGAACTGCTTTTGCGGTTTCAAAACTGCATTTTGAAAAAGGCATAACAGATAAAATGAAAGGAAATAACATCTGCAACATAATGATTTCTTCGGATGAGCAGCAAGATCATATCTCATTTCCCTGACGCGACTGGATGGCACAGAGCTGAACAGTTGCAGACTACCATGGTGGCATAATAGGTGGGGGGTCAGTGTAAGAAAGTAACAAAGTCCATATCAGGGTTAGGCAAACTTATGAGAAACAGAATGCACAGTGTAATAAACAAGATGACTAGTCTTCACTCTGACACTTGTTAAATGTTGTGACTATACCAGACACTTGGCTTGAGATGACAAAACTGGGGTGTTAAAATATTCCTATTTTTTCCTGAACACCTTGCATTTAGGAAATAATAAAAATAGGGAGGGGGTGGTGGAATTGATTAAGGACAGCATTGCAGAGCTCGAGAAAGAGCATGTCCAGAAGGGTGAAGGACAGAATCGATTTGGTTATACCCAAGGAACAGAAAACGTACAATTACATTGTTCAATGTAGACTATGGGCCACCAATAGTGGGAAGGATGTGGTGGAACTGAAGATATGGTTATCAAATTTGCTGGTGTCACAAAAATAGGCAGGAAATTAATTTGCGAAGATAATATAAAAATGGCTACAAAAAGATACAGGTAGGTTAAGTGAGTGGACAAAGATCTGGCAATGGAGTGTAATGTGCGAAAATGTAAAATTATCCATTTTGTGGGAAGAATAAGAAAGAGCATAACATCTAAATAGTGACAGACTGCAGATCACTGAGATGTATAGAGATCTGGGTACCCACATGTATGAATCACCAAAGGCAAACAATAAAGAAAGAAAATAATTAATTCATTACAAGGGGAATTGAAGACGAGAGCAGGAGGTTAAGCTTCAGTTATACACGTCATTGGTATGACAGCATCTGAAGTACTGTGCATTTTATTCTTTTATCAATTTGGGTTTGGAGCTGTGAACTGGTAGCAGAGCTAAGATTGAGTTTTAGACTGTGGGTAACAACTTCTGTTGAGGCCAGGCCTGGACATTAATTGCGAGTTGGTTCCTGACCAAGGTTCTGTAGTCACCAGGCAAGAGCACTATATTTAAACAGAAGTTTGCTATTCATGAGGCTAGTACCTGGGGATTGGTTCTAGCAAGTCTGGAAAAGACCTTATGTTCAAACAGATTGCAGAAGTTGAAATGGTAACTTGGAACTTGTGGAGGAGACGGTCTATCTTTCAGAGAATGATCAGAGTTTGGATTGGGTTTTGGACTGTGTTTTCAGTGGAAAATGAATCTGGCTGTTGGTCTTACAGCACGGGGATTTGAATGCTCCCTGCCTGACCTCCTTGGAAGCTCAGAGAATAGACAACGAGTGTTACTACCTTTATGTGAGGGAACTGTAAAGGTGACCCTGAATACCATCTTCAGAAAATCAACCATCATCTAGGTCTGTGGAACAATGCATCATGAAAACCACAAGTTATCTTGCCAGTTGTGTTACTTTCTTTTATTTATCTCTTAACCGTTTGTATGCCTGTCTGTCTTTTGTGAATGGGGCTGAAAACAAAAGTTGTGTGTCAAAACAAAAATATATAGCATTCTTAAGGAGCCTAGATGGGTAAATGCCCTCAATCCCCTCATGGGAGAGTTTAGGAATAGAAGGCATAGCCTCAAAATCAAGGGGTGCAATTTAAGACTGAGATGAAGAAGAATTTCTTCTCTCAGAAGGTTGAGAGTCTTTGGATCCTGCCATAGAGAGCTGCAGGAGTAGAATCCTGGTGTATATTTCAGGCTGAGATAAATTCTTGATCAGTAGGGGAATCATGTGTTATGGGGAAAGAGCAGGGTAGTGGACATGAGGAGTGTCAGATCAGCCACAATCCTATTGTTTGGCACAGTACGCTCGAGGGAATGAATGACCTACTCCTGTTTCTATTTCCTATAGTCTAAGAAAGCAGGATAGAATAAAAGGGAACTTAAGTTTGACTATATTTCAGAAATGTACAAAATTTGGCTTTTCCCAAAAATACAGGAGGTAATTCTGCACTCAGCCGTGTATTAGGCTGTACTGCTTCACTTTTCTAATACTGTTTGTATTAAAAGGACATCAACGATTATAACCTTTTCTGAGAATTCCACAGAACAACTGTTCTTAGAAAACATAATCCTATATGTTTCAATGACATCACCTCTTATTCTTCTAAATTCCAATGAGTAGAGTCCCAACCTGTTTAACCTTTGCTCATAAGACCTCTATACCGGAGTGATATCTTTCCTTAAATAAGTGGACCTAAACTGCTCATGGTTTTTCAGATATGGTCTCACCAGCACCTTGTCCAGTAATAGTAAGACTTCCCCACTATTGTACTCCCAACCCCCTTGAAATAAGAGCCAACATTCCATGAACCTTCCTGATTTGATTCTTGCAATGTTTAACTACTCTTCAATTTTAATCTCTTTAGTGAGAAATAGAGTTCACACTGATCTTCATCTGGTATAGGATTTGTGAAGTGAACATGCATAGCTACATCTAGCAGCTGAGGGATGAATGGAAAAGAGAGGATTCTGGTCTCTAATCTATGCAGAATAATTAGATTTCCCTCCACTTGGGGTTAAGATATTGACAATGACCAGAATTTTCACTACTTTCCCTCTCTCTCCGTATCTCAGTTGTAAATTTATATCTTTATTTTGGAGGAAAGGGGTTAGTGATGGTGGGTGGTTGTTGTGGAGAAGAGGCCAAGAAATATAACACAAGGGCTTTATCTGCAAGTGCCAAATGAAAAAAAAAATCAAAAACATCAAAGATAATGATCACTTTTCTATGATTAAAAAGGAGAACATTTCACATCCACCAAGTTTATATATTATCTAAGCCCTGCTAACACTGGGCCTCTTGTCTGAAGCATGTTTCAACCACCACTGCTGTGTTATATTAGCAGGTTTGCTGTACCACTGGATTTGTAAATGAAGACAATTAGGGGTTAGGGTTAATGCACTACACTAATATGTTAATTTTTCTGAATTCAGCTGCACTCAGCCACCTTATTCAATGTCATAAACTTATACAACTTGCAGATTTGAACATTGCTTGAAACCAGAACTCTCACACATGACCAACGCTCATCAAGCAACATCCCTGATATCGAAGCAAAGTCTGGTTTGAGAAACCTTGTACAGTGCTTTATTGAGAAAAATAACATTTTGTTTATGATAAACAAAAGCACATTATAGTAAAGGAAAAGCTCCAAACTATAAGAATAATTTAACAGCTGACAATAGTTTTGCAAAAAATTTCAATTGAACAGATAGCAGCTCCTTTTCTTGTGCAATTACAAGCTTACCAGAGTAGGGACCAATTTTGGACACTGTGTGCGAGGCTGCAGTACATTTATTTCAAAAGGTGGTCCACGAACTGATGGGTCTAATTATTTTCAGTAATACTACAAGAAAAGCCATATAGTGCTTTTTATTCTGGACAATATGAAAAAAATAAATACTAAAATAAATAGGGCTTTTCTGCCTAGTACACAATCACAAGCCTTGGAAGATACAGCGAGACAGTTTGGATCTCACTATTTCATAATTAGTGTCTACTGTGAAAAACACTGTTAAAAGCTATCCATTAACAAACAGTTAAACTTGACAAAATAGCTTAAAATCCATATTCTGCAATACACGGAATGTAGTGCTGGAGCTATCACTCCAACTTGTGATTCTGCGAGCTGCGTCCTTAAGTACAATTGTATAAAGTTGCATTACAATCGAGCTGTTTTAGCAGCTAATTCCAATAAATGTATTGTCAACTGACCAAGAAAGCAGTGCAAAGCTCAATACCAAACAAGGATTCCAAACTCAAAGCCCAAGCTTATTCCTGGCATTGTTAAAAACAGTGCACTTTTTACACAACCTTTCTTCTGTTACCACATTTGTAACAACTGTCAAATTTTAACTTTTGGTTGCACTGCAGATGTGTGTGCTGGACATTTGAAGATAATTGCATTTAACTGGAACAGCACTTATTGTGTCAACTGACAGTCTGAGCTTGGAAGATGAGCCATGGGAATCTTTGTCTGAGGCATTGACCGACAAGAGAATTGTTTAATAGCGCACAGTGTACTGAATGTCTTCTGTGGTCAGGTTTCCACCACATCTGTCTTCAGAAGGTAGTTATGTTCAAGAATAAATAGTGATGACTTCACAACCACCACCTCGTACAAGCAGTACCCTCTCCAGACCTTCTGTAAGTACCTCCAGAAATTCCATATCTTCAAACAATATGTCAAGGATATCTCATAACACAGTCCATTTGAAAACATTGTCCTGTATATTCATGTATTTTAGTGTTGTGCTTCAACATAATTGGGCATTTTTGCATTTATAGACAACTACAACTAAGAGGCTAAGAAGAAATATTAGCAGCAATGGAACTGGAGAGGATCTTAACTTCAATAACTATGAAAATAACTAGTCTAACTTGCGCTCAGAGCATTACGGCAGGGGAGGCCAAACCATTTTCAGCTGCTTTAATGACTTTCCCAGCATCATGAGTTGCTGGCTCGTTGGTCTGGAGGTGTGGTTCTTGCTTCCGGTGAATGGATTCAATATGAGACACCCCAGTTTCAGATCCCGGGTGAGTCCTGGTGCTCTGTTTAGGGCGGCATGGTGGCTCAGCGGTTAGCACTGCTGCCTCACAGTGCTAGGGACCTGGGTTCAATTCCACCTTTGGGCGACTGTCTGCGTGGAGTTTGCACATTCTTCCTGTGTCTGTGTGGCTTTCCTCTAGGTACTCCAGCTTCTTCCCACAGTCCAAAAGATGTGCAGGTTAGGTGGATTGGCCATGCTAAATTGCCCATAGTGTCCAGGGTTGAGCAGGCTAGGTGGGTTAGCCATGGGAAATGTGTGGTTACAGGGATAGGGTAGGGGAGTTTGTCTCCGGAGGGTCGGTGTGGACTCGATGGACTGAATGGCCTGCTTCCACACTGTAGGGATTCGATGATGATGATGATGATGAGGAGTTCAACCATGAGGTTGTTGATGATAGCACCGAGTTTAGTGCCATTTGCGACTTCTCAGATAACGAAATCTGTCCCAACGTGCACGAGATCTAGGCAACATTAGGGTTGGCTAATAAGCCACAAGTAACAGTTTTGCCATAGAAGTGCAAGGCAATAACTATCTTTAACAGTAGAGTCTTGCAACTTACCCTGAAACAATAGCATCACCATCACAGAATCCCTCACCATCAACATGCTGGGGGATGACCAGGTGGGTGTGGTGTGGGAAGGAAGTGAAAAATCACCATTAACCAGAAGTTTAACTGGAAGAGCTACATAAACACTTTGCGTAGAGCTGGATGAACACAGCAGGCCAAGCAGCATCAGAGGAGCAGGAAAGCTGACGTTTCATTTCTGAAGAAGGGTCCAGACCCGAAACATCAGCTTTCCTGCTCCTCTGATGCTGCTTGACCTGTTGTGGTCATCCAGTTCTACACCTTGTTATCTCAGATTCTCCAGCATCGGCAGTTCCTACTATCTCTAAACATTTTGGCTACTTTGGAGTAGGTTGGAGCTGTGTATTCTGTGTGACTTGCTTATCTTGGACTCCTGTACAGCTTGAGACAGACCTATGATGGCATACTCCTGATTTGCCTAGGTGGGTATACCACCCAAATGCCTAATCTCTATGGCCTGGAGCACCCAAATGCCTAATCTCTATGGCCTGGATGAAACAGGCAGCAGCTGCACAAGAACACTATCACCTCTACTTCCCTCTTAAAGTCACCCACAATCCTGACTTGAAAATATATAATCTTTACTTCAATGTCTTGAAGTTTGAATCCTGAGATTCTGTGTACTTGCACTGCTGACTGACTCTGGATATTTATCACAGAGACAGCAGTCTTTCAAGAAAGCAGATCACCATCAAGGGTGATACCTTAAGGGCAATAAACACAGATCTCAGCAATGAAGTCCACACCCCATGAACTGGTAAAAAAGAATGCAGGGGACAAGGGATCATAGACCAGAGTCTGACAAGGACTGTCAATGGATTGAAGAACCCTATGGGCTTCAAGGAGATTCTAGAAAAAGGAATCTGGGAGAACGTGAATAGATTTAAGTAAATAGAAGAGAGAGTTTTGAACTCGAAAGGCACTGACAGAGATCAGAGAGCCGAGGAGTGATTGGCGTGCAGGACTTGGTGCTGGGTAGGAAATATTTGGATGAATTTAGTTTCCATAGCATGAAAGATGTGAGGTCAGCAACGAAAGCAATAGAATAATACTCTAGGGATTACATAAACTCTACATGAGAAGTTCAAGTGTGGATGAACTGAGGTAGGTGTGAAGCTGGGTGATATTACAGAGAAGGTCGGGCATCTCTGTATGAACAGGTTATAGGCTTTGCTTAGCTTATATTCAAGTTGAATATGGAGACTGCAGGTGGATCCAGCCCAATATATGGACTGAACCAGGGGCAAGGAAATAAAGCTTATTGTGGGGTCCAAAGACAATAACTTTGGTGCTTCCTGATTTAACTTGAGCAAACTAGCTTCCATCTAGGATTGAATAATTACATAGCTATCCAAATCACATGGGCAGGTTGACCTAGGTAGTGGAAAGGTAAGGACCGGTTGTCAACTTGCATGTGGATGCTGAATGCATGTTTCCAGATGATGTCAGTTGACGAGAGAGAGGCTTGGGATAACATGGAGGGATTGTAGATCACGATCGCAGCTCAATGATCATGTAATTCATAAGTTTGCCTAAGGTCATTATAGCTCTGTCATAGCATGGAAACTAAATTGGACACTTTCAAGCACAAGTTTGCATGTAAGATGGGCATTGTAAAATGAAACATTCAAAAAGAAATTGTAGGAGTACAGATAAAGAGCAGAGGTGCGGGACTATTCGGATAGCACTAAGACTTAGTCCAGACAAGTTGTCAAGTACATGCATGAACAGGCATTACACAGACATGATTAAGATTAGAAGGCTTGTCATAGATGTAAAAAGTACACTCCTTACTCCATCAAATCAATTACTATGTGAAATGAATGAATACTGTTAAACTTGAATGATAATGTTGTGTTATCTAACTAAGCAACTATCAGGCCACAGGTGGAAAATTTGACTGGATCACAGCCCCACTACGCAAAGCATTCCACAAAGCAAGATCCACAGGTCCAATAGAAATTATTTTAAAAGGTTTCCCTTTGCGGGCTTCAACTCTGGCTTATTATACTTCCGGACTGAACATTGCAAGTTTGCAGTTACTGATCTAAGAAAAGAGTAGACATTTAACAGAGATACTCTGCTAGAAATATCGGGAAATTCAGACTGAGAATAGAAACCAACAAACCTACATGCTTAAAATGGGTAGAAGTTCTGAATACAATTTCAGAGATTTTACTTGACATGCTGAAAGATGAAACAGACTAGCCTTCCTTTGACAACTGTTCTTTAGATTTGCGTCAAATTAAAATGGAACAGTCTAATTCTGCAAAAAATATTGAATGACTTGTGAGTTGGAAATGTAATTAAATGTAAACATGCTGCCACAAATTAGTTTAATTGACATTTCAAAATTAACTTATCCGATTACCAGCATGATATCTGCAGACTGCAATGTGCACTTAGTATACAATTTGCAGTGCAGGCTGTACATCAAATTGATTTTAGCATCAAATTGATTTTTGAATGTAGGAAGGGAGCAGCTGGAAGTTTCACCTTTTAAAGAATTCTTTCATAAGATGTGGGCATTGCTGACAAGACCAGCTCTTGTTCCCGGTCACTAATTTTCCTGAATGGAGTGCATTGCTAAGCCAAATGAGTGGTTAGTTAAGACTCCACCACATGGTTGGGGCTGGAGTCAATGTAGGCCAGAATGGGCAAGTACAGCAGATTTCATTCCTTAAAATACACTGAACCAGAAGGTCTTTTACAACAGTCAATGTTGGCGGTCATGGTCATCAGTACTGAGACTAGCTTAATTTTCCACACTTATCAATTGAATTTAAACTCCACCAGATTCTGTGGTGGGATCTGAATCCATGTCTTCACAGCATTAGCCTGGGTCTCTGCATTACTATTCCAGTGACATTATCATCACACCATCAAATTAAGTAAAACAATTCCATACCAATATTAAAATTTTCAGGTACTCTGGTGCGATTTTACATTGGACACAGTTACACTGCAACCCATGTGAAGCCCAACTATGACAGAATACCCATCCGGTCTTATGTTCCTTGCCTTCAATGTATTCCAGATTTAGAATAATTTATTATTCCAAAATTAGAGTATAATTTTTCATTATCTGCAACCAAACTTAAAGAAATCCATAGAATGTTGAATAAATGAAATGATCAGAGGCTGAGAGGGGGACAGTGTAACCAAGTAAAAACTTCGAACTAGTAGCAGCAAAGCTCCACTGAAGTTGCAGTTGACTTGAATGCAGTCCAGACACTTTCGCCTTGGATTTCTTGAATTAAAAGTCAAAAAACAGTGAGTAATGAGTACCAGAAATTAGAAGAACAAAAACCTTGGCATTTGCATCATCCACTTGGATGAGCAATTTTTGAAACCAAGAACATAAATTACTGACAAGACTCAGCAGATCTGGCAGTATCTGTGGGGAGAAAGCAGAGTTAACATGTGAGCCTGGTGACTCTTCTTGTTTGAAGACCAGTTTGTTTACTTTATTTGGACAGCTTACTGTGTCCAATCAATTTTTCATGCAAGCATAAAACATGCGGTTGATTCCTACATACCACACTTAAAACTGAAGGAAAGGAAGCAAGAACTGGACAACTCAATTTGGATAAACGCATCACTGGAATCTTTTAGAACATCTTCTGAAAAAGAAACTAAATGGTTCTGATGTTAAATATACAACTCTGATCAGTTTAGTCATAAAAAAACTCAACTGAACAATCACATTTCATTATTTGGAAAAGCATTCTTGCAAGGTCTATTTGCGGAAAAGATGTAACACAAAGGATACAGTTTTCATCTCCATCTTGATTTTTTGGTGGACCAGGCATGTTTAACAAAACCAGTTTGGCATCGTGAGACTTATTTACAATGACTTCATTCAGTTTCACAGCTGTGTGCATTCTCCTTACATTTGACTGGTCCCTGAAAAAGGTAACCAACATCCTAGTTCAACATATTAGAAATATTGCGAATGATACCTTGCTAAGATAAAGTTAAGAAATCATTTCAGTTAAAAACAACCATAGCTCCAAAAACTACAATGAAACTATGAGTTCTGACAACTACAACAACTTGCATTTATACAAGTGTCTTTAATGTTATAAAGCATCCCAAGACATTTCACTGGGCGTATAAAACAGTAAAACACAGTAACGTAAGGGGTCATCAGGTCATAGAACCAAAACCTTGGTCAAAGTTTTAAGTTTGGGAGGAAATTGAGGGTAGAGAGGCAGCGGGATATAGGGAGGTTATTCTAGAGCTTAGAGCCTGGACAATTGAAGGCATGGATGCCAATGGTGGAGCAAATAAATTTGAGGTGCTTATGGGGCCAGAAATTGAGCATACAGGTATCTCTGAGAGTTGTTTGGCTGTAGAAAACTATAAGAGACTAGAAAGAACAAGGGCAAGGAGAGATTGGGACTGCAAGGATGAGAATTTTTAAACAAGATGTTGCTTGACCAACAGCCAACCTAGGTCAGTGAACAGAGGGACATTAGGAGAAAAGGACTTGGTGCAAGTTAAGACATGGGCAACAGAATTTTGAATGATTTCAGGTTTATGGAGATGGAATATGGGAGACCAGGCAGGAGTGCATTAGCATAGTCAAGTCTGCAGATTCAGTTGATGAGTGAAGATGGAGGTGACTTCAGAATGCTGATTCGGAGGTAAAAACTGATGCATTTAATGGTGGAGTTCATTACATATTCAAATGTGACACCAACTGATTAGCTGTTTCTCAGACTGCTACCAGGGAGATTTCTGTTTGTCCAGCATTGGATGTCAGCAATGTTCTTAATTTAGGAACACTGGAAGAGTGAGGTGAGAGATACTATCAGAATACATGTGAAAATCATTGTTGTGCCTTGTGGAAGGTTTATATTCATGTTTCTATTGAATGCTTATGGAACACAAGATTTTGAATGATAACATTCAAATTATTTGGGTGGGGTAAATTCTGCACATAGGAAAAGGTTGAAGGACGGCTCTGAAACATTTTTTTTGCACAATTCAGATGACTTCAGTCAATGAAAAGCAGCAAGAAATAGAATGAAGGATAATAAATTAAAGCAATGTAACCACAGGTTCAGTGAATCAGCTTCCTAACTGTGTAAGGAGCAGTGAATAGCACTGAACCGAGGTGTCAGCTAACCTTAAAGAAGGATTACAAAATAAAAGTGCTTCCGTGATATTCAGAAGCCAAGTATAATTATGCTAATTCCCATCCAGAAGCACTAACAGCAAATAAAATTTGTTCTTATTTCAAAAACGTAAACAAGTGGTAACATGTTATTGGCACTTTAATTGGCTTTCCTAATTTTGAAATTTTTGTTAATTGATCAGTCAGATTATTGCACATTAATTCAAATACTATGTACTGTCTTAGGAACCTTATCAAAGAAATGTAAATAAAACTAAAAGGTGTCAATATTCTAAATATTATCTGAAATGAGAGGTTACTGGTAAAAAGACAGATGGTGACAACTTAATCCCTTTTTCAGGAAAAGTGGAAGGGGTAAGGGACGAGCTGACGGAGGTGTTCATGATTACAGTGATAAAGATAAACAGTGATGCATGGGGTTCTTGTGGCACAATGGTAGTGTCCCTACTGCTGAGCCAGAAGTTCAGAGTTTAAGTTGCACTTGCCATGGAGGTGTGTCATAGCATGTCCAAACAAAACAGAGTGACAGATTGTTGATCATCAAGATGGTAGGTGGACACCACAGATTTAGATAATCAGACAATAAATTAGAGCTTATAGATTTTTTTTCATATTGATATTATTAAAAATAGAATTGAGATATAAACTATTGCTGAGGTGGAGTACATAAATACTATTTACAGAGACTTAGATAAATGTTTATAAAATGTAAAATATTAGATTAGGAGAATAAGGGAGCAGTATTGGATGTAATGAGTTATGAAAGAAAAAGCAAGCCTAAACATGATGAGCTGAATGGCATATTTCTGTGCTATAATCTTCTATGGTTCTATCTCCCAGCAGAAAAATAATCTAGTGACATGCTATTATCAAATTGCTCAAACTTACAACTTGACAAGCTACCAAATATCACCCACTGAAACAGGGCAACTTTGCATTCTAGGATTAAAGAACCAACAAATAAAGAAAGCAAACCAACAAATCAAATCAATGCATCATGGTTAACGTGACAGTTCCTCAATTTCCACAACCCATGCTCCAGCAATTAACCTATAAACTGAAGTATGGATTAAAATCACATTTTCACAAGTGTCATGCGACAGTCTTTTTTAAACTGTCAGGTTCAAATGCAACCACAATAATCAAACTTTATACAATTTCTATGAAATTTGGTGTCACTGTTGAACAGTATAATTTATTAATGGCTTTGATACTACTAGTAGGTTTAGGAATGTTAACAAAAGAATGGCTGTTTCTCACAATTCTAAATTAACAGCGAGAAAAAAAAAGTATAACTAGCTGTTGATTCAATAGTACATTAAGAGGAAACTTAGCAATTATAATTCACAGAAATAGTGTTCCAAGGGACATGACTGACACTTACGGTTTAATACTGATTAATTCTCTGAAACTGTTTGGTGTGGTGGCTCTAGTGCGGTTTCCTTCAGATTCACATTTTTCTTTTGTCCACGTCATCTGTATTCTGTCAGGGTCAACATGTATCTCTTCCTCTTCATCTGAGTAAACATTGCCTTGATGAATTATTGAATTCCTGTCTTTTACTAACTGAGCCTGGAAGAAAGTAAAATGGGATTTCTAAATAACTGTCACAATTTCAGCACTTATTCCTATTGCTAAATTCTTGCGAGGGCTATGATGAGCTGTCTCTTGAAATGCTGCAGGTACACCCACAATGCTAGGTTGATGGAGATGTTGGTCAGAAACAGAGATTGGGGAGCTTCAGTTTTTGAATCAATGACAGGTGAAAGACCAGCAATACAAATCAGGAAGGTGCATGACTGAAGAAGACAACTTGCAGATGGTGGTATTCCTACATGGCTGGTTACCTTGTTACTTTAGGAGGCCATTGGTTTGCAGGGTGTTATTGAAGCTGCTGTGGGGTGATGTTATATTATGTCTTGCAGCCACAGTGCATTAGTGGTGCAAGAAATTAATGTTTAAGGTGTGGATAGGATGCCAGTTAAGCATGTTAATTATCTATTATTAGGTGTTTAGAGTGTGCTTAGAGATGTATACTGGCTTTCTGAAATAAAACTTGGTAGGTTGTTTTGCCTTGAATTGCGTTAGATTTCTTCAATTTATTTGGAGCAATACTGCATTGATCATAATGAGTAAACACATTAAGGAAATTAGTTTAGCTTTGACCTTAGAACATAGAGTTAAGCTTACAGTTCAGAAGAATCCAGAGCTCACTTCGGAAGGTAGAATCATTTATCCTAGCAGGAGAATCAAGTTATTTCAAGGGAACCAGTTACCTGAGCAGCAGTGGTTTCTAGTCTGTGCAGCTATCAAGCCAGGACAGCTGGGTTAGAAATCATCACATTAGAACTGAGAAAGTTTAAATCTCAGAATTCGGAGAGGCTCATCTCAGTAGACTCAAAGGAACCATAAAAAAAATCTCAACTGTTAGGAGTGATATTTCTCTAGGGTTGGTTCTCTGCAACAATGTATGAAGATTGTAGCAATATAACATGGATGCAATGGACAAAGGTTTCTTTTTCTATGTTGGACTTTTCTATCTGGGAATTAGATGGATACTGGTGATGTTGGGAAACAGGTGGAAACTTTGTTTTGATATTAGTGTTAAGATCTTTCTAACCGCCTTCTATATACATGGATTTGTTGCTTACTTCTTCTTTTGTGCAATAAACTTACATTACATTGTTAAGAACTTCAGCCTCATATGAAAGGTTCAGTAACTAACCATCATGATAATCTACTGCAAAAATTAAAACATAATGATAAAACATATTGTCAAGCCAGGTTTCATTCTAGGATCTGATCTGTCCAGTGTTGCCATCAGCTGAGATCATAATATTTTAAAGATATCTTCAAAGAGGTAGTTTGTTTTAAAATCTGAAAGTCATGGAACAAATTCAAGAACAAAAATAAAAATCAATAAACTTCGTTTGGGAATATTTATTTCCAACCGAATTGAGATTGCCAGAAGAACTGATTTCATGACTTATAAAATCTCTATAGATGTCTGTAAATCAAGAAACTTAGTTAAGATTAAACTAATAAAGTTATAGCAGTTTACCTCTCTTTCTCGCTCAGTCTTGGATAGCCTCATCTGCCTTAACATCTGTGACCGTTGCTCCATCATGAGAGTCCTTTCATATGTATAAGCTGAAATATCACTGCCGTGCTGAGAACAGAATGTGATGTTATTATTGTAAGAGTGCATTATTTGTATTATTAAAAATTATAGTTATTGCTGCAGACTATGCCCTCCCAGGTTTGCTCCTTACCATTTCAACAACTTCAACTTCCGCTTCAATGCGTAGATGATAAAGAAAAGTTGCAAGATCCTTTTTCATTTGAATACTATTGTCATCCATTTGGGCAACAGTGAAAATGCGCATCCTACATTTTTTCCAGACCTGTGCAGAATTACAATCAAATTAGCTTCAATTTCAGTGCAGCCACTGAAACAAAAACCAAGTACACAACAAGACATTGTGAAATTATTTCCATTAATGAGTTTGAATTCTGATAAAAAGGAGGAGAATGCAACTTGCATTACAATCAGGTGACTGTACTTTTTATTTAAAAAGCTTTCTTTAAAACAGTCAAACCAGTACACTGTGTTTTCCTTTTTGGACATCACTGCATCTTGTACTTAGTACAATGAATTTAAACACCACATTCCTTTTTTTCACTGCTCTTACAAGATATTTCATACGGTTTTAGAAAAAAAATAAGTAGTTTTCATGTTGAAGAATCCATATCTAGTGTAAAGACTATATATTTTTATTTCTATGTATTTTTGATTGTGAACTGAAATGGGAAGTGAATTGTTTTAAGACCCAAGAATTGTGGAAGGATTGCCACACATTTTAAAAGCAAATAATACGACATTCATTTCAATGCTGAGATAACAAGGTGTAGAGCTGGATGAACACAGCAGGCCAAGCAGCATCAGAGGAGCAGGAAAGTTGACGTTTTGGGTCTGGGCCCTTCTTCAGAAATGGGGGAGGGGATGAGAGCTCTGAAATAAATAGAGAGGGGGGAGGCATGATGGAAGGTGGACAGAGGAGTGGATAGGTGGAGAGAAGACGGACAGGTCAAAGAGGCTGGGATGAAGCCAGTAAAGGTGAGTGTAGGTAGGGAGTTGGGATGGGGGTTGGTCAGTGAGGAGGGAGGAAAGACGGATAGGTCAAGGAGGTGGGGATGAGGCTAGTAGGTAGGAAGTGGGGGTGGGGGTTGGTCAGTGAGGTGGGAGAAAAGATGGACAGGTCAAGGAGGCGGGGACGAGGGGGGCTTTAGCATCGGCAGTTCTTACTATCTCTGACAAAAGAGACCAGGCAGGGAAACAGCAGAATCAGGTGATATTCAGTTATGAGTAAAGCAGCTTCAGCATGAGGAGGAAGTGAAGAAACTAGAGATGGCACAGAGTGAGGAGAAAAGGGAGATGATAATTGAATTCATAAGAACGGAAATGAGAAAACTCTAATTTGAATTGAGAAGAGAAAGAGGAGAGAGAAAATGTAAACACAAGTTTAAAATAATGCCATTGAAACAAGAGATTTCAGATGCAGAGATAGTAAGAACTGCAGATGCTGGAGTCAGAGCTAACACAGTGTAGAGCTGGAGGAATACAGCAGGCCAGGCAACATTAGTGGAGAAGGAAAGCTGTAGAGGCAGGTGTAGCACTTCCTGTGGTTACAGGGAAAGGTGCCGGGGGTGGTGGGGTTAATGGAGAATGTGGAGCGGATGAGGGAGCTGGGGAAGTGATCGCTACTGAAGGAGCATAGGGGTGGGGAGAGAAATATCTCTTTGGTTGTGGGGTCAGATTGTAGGTGACGGAAGTGGCGGAGAATGATATGTTGGATAGGGAGGTACGTGGGGTGATATGTGAGGACAAGGGGCAATTCTGTCTTTATTTTTGTTGGGGGGAGGGGATGTGAGGGCAAAGGTGCAGGAAACGCAAGAGATGCGGTTGAGGGCATTTTCCATCACCGGAGTGGGGAGGTTGTGGGGGATACTTCTCTTCCACTACACTGATGCCTGTATCGGCGCTGCCTCGTGCTCCCACGAGGAGCTTGAACAGTTCA